TCAGAATGACTTCTACATGATCTTTGTGACATAATGAGCCTTACTTTTTCTTCCCATATATATATGCGCATCGACCTATTACTAGTTATTGCTCCACATTCGGCACTAAATTTACCTCTTTCTAATCTAAATATATACTGTCATGCAAAACTTTTGTTTTTAGATGAATATGTGTCTTTTTATCCCTGTTACAATGTAGCATTCTTAAACTAGGTCATACCTATTAAAGTTGAAACTTTAATTAGATTGGTAGGTATTCAGTTTGTTTCTTGTAAAGAAACTAATTTCATGCATTCTGCAGTTGCAAGTTCTGAACAGTTTCCATTAATCTAACTAGTTGTTTTGGAGTTTGTACTTCCATATCTGTGCTTTAACCATACATACCCTGCGCATAAGTTTAGATGTACTTCTGCTATCTGTCTCGAAAAAGTATTTNTCTAAACCATACGATTTTTTGCTTGCACAACCACATAGTTTATGCATGCATTCTCACTTTTTAATGACTATGGTTATGTGCTTATCTCCATTTGTGATGTCGTGCAGAGGAGAGTATGGAACTTGAAAGAACACGTATCTCTTTTGATTGGGATGCCGGTGGAACAACAGCGTATAATCTATTGTGGAAAATTCTTACAGGATGATGACCTCCTTTCTTCATACAGTATCCTTTTTTATTCACTTTATATATGATCATCTTTAGTACAGTACAATTTAAAGTTCTTTTGCAATTTTGCTGAACCTAAAATGCATTACTACTGCAGTAGTTTCTCAAAGTAGTATTACTTGGAGAAAAATGGTTTTCTTTAAACATCAAGTGGCTGGCAGTTTCCTTAAGATTTGATGCATTTATGTGTAGGAGATTTAGGCTGTGTCTCTTTGCTCTTATTATTTCTTTCCCCATCGGAGACTTAATGCTAATTAGATATTCAAAATGGTGATACTTTGCATCTGGTTTGCACTGTCCAGAGCATGTCGTCATCCTTTGGTAATGAGCTTTCTTTAATATATGATGTTGGTTCAGAAGTTGTGTAGACAATCTCCTCCTAAATATCCATTACAAATTGTTTACTGATTGTTCTTTACGTAATTTTTTTTTTGTGTCGCAAGTGAAAGTAGAAAATTTCAAAACCATTTAATACTTCTCAAATATTTGGTTGCAAGCTATGAATAGTTTTTTGTCATTTCTAAGTTCTAAGATGGACGTGCCACCACCTACTCCTTCTGCTTACTGATCAGGTGATTTTGGTACTTTATCTTAACCATGTTGTTGGATCGTCAATTTATGTGTTCACTTGAATCGTGATTGTAAGTCATGTTATTTGTTAATGCATTTGACCTTCGGCTCATGATCAGTTCTCTCTATTCTAGCTGAAGAACATTATACTTCGTATCTTTACATTATACTTACTCCTACCTGTTCTATTTGCTCTACCTCAGGTGCTACTGATGGGATTTCTCCAGATACTCAACAGGTAAGTTCATTCGCCTATTAATCATACTGATCATCCTTATAGTTCTTATATGTCAATGCATTATTTGTGTATACATCCTCTGCGAAACGCGTGTTCTTCCCTTTGTCACTTTGAAGTAATATTGAGGGGGTTGTCGCTGCCGTTTCTTGGGATTTGTAATTTAGGTTGTAGACAAGTACTGTATAACAGTCTGGTTGTTGCAGGAAATCCCTAACTCTATAGAAACTTTGTCACGATATCTCAACATAATGAGACAAGAATATAGTATAAATGGTCAGTACTTCTCTTCCTCTTTTATGTTTTCCTTTCACTTTAGAGGTTTGCGGCTAAGTCATTTTCTATAATCAGGAACAGAAAACAATACGAATGAGGTACGCGGAAGTGCATTCAATCCTTTCACTCCTTCACAAGGAATTCCAGAAGTAGAACAATTAGCAAGACTGCTGTCGTCCACTAGGGATATGCTTATAAGCCAAACTGAACAGCGCTTTCTTGTAAGTGCGTGCTCCTACTTATGTTTTCTTGTAAGATAAGCAGAACATTTTTGACTGGTTGGATTTTCTGTTGGCATAGGAATTGGAAAGGGATCTGCGCCAAAATCTGAACGTGGGTGATCCGAGGGTGCGCCAGGGAACCCAGTTAAATGCACAGACAACAATCGGAACAATGTTCAACAATCTAGGTGCATATTTTCTGGAACTTGGCCGCACAGTGATGGGAGTCCGAATGGGTGACAATGGGGTATTATACTTTGCTCTCTACTAAATGGATTAGTTTTTCTCTTAATAACATGACCATGTCTGTTACTGTTTTCAGAGTAATGCCGTAGTTAATGCTGGGCCTGCAGTCTATATAACCGACTCGGGTCCACTGTCCATCCAGGTAGCCTCGTCACTGTTCCTCTACTTCAACCAAATCTATATCTGACAATTAAACTTTGTAAATCCAATGTTCTGTACGTCAACAGGAAGAACTTTATTCTGTGCTGCTCTCAACAATACACAGGCTGATCAACTCTGGTTTAGTAAATAATAATAATACGAGGCTGCACCAGAGGCAAGTTGGTACACAAATGATAGGAGGTTCGTTATGTAGATAGTTCATAAGATTTGACATTATTTCTGTACGCTATCTAGCTGGCAAATGAGCATGGTAAGATGAACAAGTAGTTTTATGTGCACCATAAATAGAAATGAAATAATATAGTTCCTTTGTGAAATTATTACTTATTAGTTTCCAATGGAAATACTTGTTTCCTTACCAAAATAATAAAACTGATTGGCCCTTTCATTTTATGATATATTAATGAGATTATCTACAAATATCTACGTGAAATTGAAACACATGCAACAAAATTTCAGCACATACAACTACGTCACAATCCCAAGTCGGGGTCAGCTATATGAATCCTCACTGACCATGTTTCTCCATTTAAACTCATCTCTTGGTCAATGCTTATTACACAAAATAAAAATATCAGTTTCAATAGCAAGTATGTTTTTTTTCTTCTTTTTAAATCAAGGGAAAAAAGTGTCAGTGTCTGTAAAGAGGTTAAGAGCTAAGTTGGATTTACTAACAACTAGAAGAGGTATTCTAGTATCCAAAATAGAAAACCTTGAAGATGCATCGGCGTTTTACTGCTATAAAAAGGGATAAAAGCATCTAGATGTTGTCGAGTCCCTGAATTTGGTTTAAAATACTTCTCAAAGATGATTCTCTGATCTTTATTCTTAATTAGGAAGACAAGCACCCAATATGCTACGAGTCAGATACACCAGATACTTTCTTAGACCCATAGTTGCCACAGCTGATCAAACTGAAGCTCAAGTACTGCCACCAGGAAGTGGCGTACCAACGGAAGTTAGCCAACTTTTGAGAAGTATGTTCCTCAGTGGTGAACTTCAAGCTGCTACACCTGCAGTTGCAACTGTAGATAACGTCGTTGACAACTCAGGGATATTAGGTCTATCTTCTGGACCATCAATTATAGAACCTAGAAGTGCTCATGAATCAGCTGCTGAAGTAAGTGTATTTTGCACCTTTAATGTTAAATACTACACCAGTTATGGAACCTAGAAGTGCTCTTGATAATAACCATATTTTTCTCTATACTTACGCAACTAGCATAGACTCAACTTTTATTCTAAGCGGCGATGTGTTTGTGCAGCCTGCTAATGAAGGTGTTGGGACCTCTCATCGACGAACAGTTGATTTTGCTGAAAGCTCATCACATGCAAAACGACAAAGGGTATTATTATACCACAATTTAAGCTTTCTTCCTTTCCATATTATGCTGGCAGTTTGAGTTCTTTCATCCTCTCTACATAACACCTCTTCTTGTTGCTTCCACGTAGAACCTTATAATTTAAGGAAGAAGAAAACAAAGTAACATGAGAGAGTGGCATAATTTCAAACTGTCTCAACTTCAATCAAATTGGTAGTACAAGTTTCATCTTGACTAATAGCCTGATTGACCAAGTTTCTTTTGAGGAAAAAACATTTTTTCTTGGTCAAAAGTGTTTTTATCTAAAATTAAGGTGTTTGGTCAAGCTTTTGAAAGGAAAAAAAATACTTTTGAGGAGAAGCAAAAACAGTTTTGGAGAAACAGAAAAAATAGCTTATCTCCAAAAGCATTTTTTTGAAAAACACTTTTGAGAGAAATACATTTATGAAACAGTTTTTTAAAGCTTGGCCAAACACTAATTGTTGCTCAGAAGTGTTTTTCAAATTAATTAGCTAAACACAAACTGTTTCTCACAAAAAGTACTTTTCAGAAAAAACACTTCTCAAAATAAGCTGATTTTTGCAGCTTGGCCAAACGGGCTATAACTCCTCCTTAAATCCATTGACCATCGATAGAGCTAGGAATTCTGGCAAGGGGATTCACAAAAATACAAGAATGACATATTTGAGATTATATATACAAAAAAATTATTTTTACGCTGTATAATAGGCGGATTCGCCCTTGCCTTTGACATAAGAGTGCTGTAGCTTTTAACTTGAATATTCCCTTTAGTTTTCCTATGGACATGTATATTTAAGTGGATGTGTATTCTTATAGATAAAAGTCTTACAGTGATTCACAACAACTATTCATATATTACTACATATTCAACAATATGTTAAACCAATTAATTAAGTTCTGATACTTCAGTGGATATGGAATAGTTAGATTCATTTGACTGCAGCTTTGTGTTAATTTCTGATTATGGTAGGTGCTGAACATGCTTATTAATTAATTAGTATATCTTCTTGAGAAAAAGTTTTTGGTTGCTGTTTTTGACACAGATGGAGTGATGCCTTTGTTGTGGGAGCCTATTTTGTTGTAGTACATCATGTGTTTGGGGTATGATCAGCTGGCGACAAGATATTGCTAATAGACAGTTTCATTATTCTTCAGCTTTGCGGAACTTTGTAGTTATTTTGTTGTCTGTTTTATGACGATATTTTACTGGATCAACATTCACTTATGAACTTATGACAAAGGATTTTAAGCTTTCTGCTCATTGGTGTTGTCTTTTCCTGATATATGTTGTTACATACATTGCCTTAGAGATTATATAATAGGAAAGCCAAAGGTGAATGTGTTATAATACATATATTTGCAAGTATTATTTCTTCCTTTGGATGCCATGCTGAAATTATCCAAGCCATTAATGTGGTCATCAAACTAGCTAGGTCATAATTCAGAGGCAGGGCCAGAATTTTGAGTAAGTGGGTTCTGGAAACTTTAGATAAACTTCAATTGCTTCCTTTTAACTAGTGATTTATTTAGTGGTAGTGTTTACCCGAAAAACAGATAGCAATTGAATTTTAACGTAGTTCTAAGGATCTGTGGTATAACTTGATACAAATTGGGGAAAACAAGTATATGAATATCGAAATTAGCTATAAAAGAAATGAATGCAAACCGAATGAATTAGTTAGCCTAAGCCTTCAAGTTTTATCACCTTCAAATTGAATGGAGAGTGATTGATAGAAGAATAATATGACTAATTATCAAAGCGAGCCCCGGATATTATTTGCTTTATGTTCTATAAATCTCAATGAATCCGCCCCCTTCTACAAATGATAACAGCCCTTAATATAGTGGGGAAATCCTATTTTGGATATAATTAAAAATAAATAGTGGGGATCCCATGATACATTAATTAATTAGTCTCTCCTTGATTTGCGCCATAATTTCCGCCGAGATTCTCCCCCTAATTGCGGCTATAACGACTTTTTTGTTTCTTGGCTCGATCTCGATCTTGATTGGTCTCTATTTGTTCGACCTCGATTTTGGCCGATCTCGATCTTGATCGGTCTCTGGGGCTCGAGCTCGGTCTTGGCCGATCTCGATCTTGATCGGTCTCTGGGACTCGAGTTCGACAACCTAACTTCGCATCATGGCTCGATATTACAATAATGAACCTCGGACCATCATGTTCCAATCTCGATTAGTTATACAAAGAACAAACTCGATTTTGACCGTATACAGGTAGAAAAAAGCAAAAGCTTCTTTTACAGTATTACAGTAGTAACACTAGGGTGAGACCTATCATGTAAAATGTATTTATATGTCTTTATACCAGGAAAGAAAAATGTCCCTTCCGTATCAAGAATAATAAATAAAATTGAAACAAAATAAAATTTTTATATCAAAATGACTTATGGCGTCACCGGAAGAATCAGATCTTCATTTCAATCAAATTTATTCTACGGTGTCCAGAGGTAGGGAAAGAAAGGAGGAATTGATAGACCAACTTGAACAAATTCATAACTTGCTTCCATCTGTCCCGAATGAGAGAAATTAGGGCGTAATACTGTAATTTAGCATGTGATAATATGTTACTTAGAATTACTTACATTTTAAGTGAATAGAATGTATAAGAATTTTGTACACGTTCATGTCACATAAAAAGTAAGTAATTATTTTGGTTAACTGGTACCATGCATTCATTTGTTTCTTTTCCTGCCCATTCTCATTATCCTAATCTGCATATCGAATTCATAAACAATCGAGAAGCACAATCTAATAATTTTCCTGCTTTAGATGCTTAAGCTGTTAAAAAGGAAATGACTCACACCGGAGAAGCAAATAAATAGGTGGTATAGGAAAAGAAATAAAGTTCATTCTTTTCCTTTTATGCATGGCAAATGCAAATTGAATTAATAAATGTTCAAATATACAAATATAATTAACTAAACTAAAGATGGAGCAAATGTGTCCAAATTATAAAAAAAATTACCCCATTTAGCCGGTTGAAATTGAAAATTGAATAAAAATTTTCGAGTTCCAAACTTTCTTATTTTTAATATTCTTTTAAATTGTTTATAGTTTAAAAATATGATTATGACAAGCCGAATCTTTTAAAATTAACTGACGTGTCACTTTCTGGTGGTTAAAAATTGGCTTTTCAATGAATACTTTTTAAGAAATTGACACTTATAAGTATAATTGTTTTAATGATACAAAACATAAATTTGTGACTTTACTGTTACACCGAGTAAAGTTCAACGACTTTAATGGTATAAAAAATAGTTTTGTAATTGCATTTATACAACACAGTAAAGTTCACTGAATTAATTGATACAAAAAAGAGTAGTGTCAGATCGTGCAGAATCCAAAATAGATTACAGGGAGTCAAAGTGGAGCCTTCATTCAGTTTGTATAAATAGAGTTTCCAGCAAAGAATGGATTCCAGCAACGACTCGGTAAATGGAATGGATTTTGGTAAAATTCCAAACTCAGGACCCATAATGTTCAAATTCTGAATCCGCTTTTGGGCATATCCTAAATTTGACATGTATATTCCTTTGCATATTACCCATATGTAATAATGGGTGGGGACTTAACATAAATATATCATGCTCTTACAAATTTTGAGAAGTTTGTAATTCCCCGGTCTTGAACTCCATGTAGAAGAAGCTACTACACCTGGAGCAACTAAAGATAACGTCACTGAGAATGCAGGAAAAGGTGTATCTTCTGGAACTAAAAGTGTTGATGAATCAGCTGATGAAGTAAGTGTAACTTTCCGTCATGTTGGGACATCTTGTCAACTAAATGATTGTGTGGAAACCCCATCAGATGCAAAACGGCAAAGGGTATTATTACAAAACTTAAGTTTTCTTCCTTTCCGTTATGCTTTTTTTTTTTAAAATCCCCTAACATGTATATTGAAAATATAAGGAGGGGGCATAAACCAAAACCTCCGCAAGACTTAGTACAGAAGTAGCAACCTTGATACTGTGTTGATGTCGAAACTTAAAGATGGTGTGCACTGGGGCACTTGTATGACGTAACAATAACTTTGTGCCCAAGGCACTACGCAGCATGGAGGTTGTATAGCTTAAGACGATAACACCATCATACCTCCATGTGTGAGAGCATCATCCTAAGGTGGATCAAAGTACCACCCTGAGTGTTTAGTAGTTTTAATTCTGAAAGAGGGGATTTGCATTCTATCCATCCTTATTGTTCCTCTAGCTATCACTAGGGAGGTCAGCTTCATCGAAGTACATGCATTCATCATCCAAAGTTGTTGCATATTTGGCCAAGGAATCTGCCACATGATTTCCTTCCCTATAACAATGTTGTACTTTGATTCCATGTTGTGTGACTTTCTCCTGGATTTTACCAATATCCCTTTGTAGTCTCCAGGGACTATTAGTTGTGCCAAGAATCATGTTAACTACTAGCATTGAATTAAGTTCTAGGATCAACCCCGCAAAACCTTGTTGGCAATATCCCTTTCCGTTATGCTTGCAGTT